TATAAACACATTTATCCTCGCAGATTCTCCTTGCAACCACTTTATTTTTGTGTTGAACTTCCATTAAGCAAACCACAGGCTACAAAACTCTTGGACCAAAACAACATCTGTGTTTTCATAAATATAATAAGTTGGAGGTTAGACAAAGAATGAATCGTTACCTGAGGAGCTTGTCTTTGTTTTTCTCCACGTTAGTTGGAGGAACGTTTGACACGACCACCTGCATGTCCAGCTGGTTAACAACTGACACCTAAACGACAAAAATCATAGATTTTGTAAAATAAGAGCTTCAACGGAAAGACGCCAAAAAAAAAAAAAAAAAAAGACGCTCATTTATTAAGAAAAGGAAAATATATAGTTTTTAAATAAATAACATTGCAATCAACAGAACTAGTGCTTTATTTAAACAGTAAACACATATAATAGAAACTAAACTAATTAAACACACATACCACTATTTCTGCTTTGCTGCTGTGTCCTTGGCCATAGTTGTCTGTGGCAACCACCTCAAACTTAAAGTATGACCTCCTCATGTTGCGGTACACGATGGCCGTCTTCACCACGCCGCTGTACGGCTCGATGACAAATCCATCTTTGCTGTCTTTGCTGACAGGCGGGGGGAAGACCAGCTGATACATCATGGCGCTGTAGTTACCGGTGTCTTTGTCCAGAGCCTGGAAACCCAATCACACACCAATTATTGATATTATCACCACCATTATAACACCATAATAACCTCTGTCATGATGAACGTGATGATCGTTTTAAGCAGGGGAACACACAATGATCTGTGATTACTATAGCTCCATTCAATACCTTATTATTATTATTATTATTATTATTTTAATTCAAGTGTTTGATTATCTGAACAATATAAAGCTCTGAAAAGTTTAACTAATCCAGGACTCACTTTTCCCTGAAAGGTTTATTATTTTTACTTCCCAAGGACTTTCAGCATGTAATACAGCCTGTTTTACTACGATGAATAAGCAGTAAACTGTGACGTCGTGTTTTAAACTGTACGCAGACCTTTTTATCATCTATTGTGCTATCAGCTCACTCGAAGACATGCTCAGATTTATTGCAGGATCTTTACAAGAAGGAAACGTGGATGCGTCAGAGATATCCAGCTCATCAAAGGTACTGCTATGGGAACAGTTTCCTTTTTGTCTGACTGGGCACAAAGCAATTGGAAGGAAAAAAGACGAATAGAAGACCAAGTCCTCTGAGTCCATGGCATTGGCAGTAAGTTTATAGATAAACAGGACTTTGTGCATGAAATAGTGACTGAAGCTCTTATCACTGGTCTTTGTTTGCTAAGACTTTTAGCCATTCTCTATATTTTTGAAACTCCCTCCTGGTCCTTAAGTTTATTTATTGATTTATTTGTTTATTTTTGCATTTACAAATGTCCATGATTTAAAGGTTTTCAATAAAAATTCAGTCAGATCAGTTTGAAACAATCCTTTCCTCATTTTCTTTCATTTGAGCTATTTTAACCTCTGCATTGAATCGTTGTGGTGAAGAGGGAGCTGAGCTGTAAGGCAAAGCTCTCCGTTTACTGGTCAGTCTACGTTCCTACCCTCACCTTTGGTCACGAGCTCTGGTTAGTGACCGAAAGAATAAGATTGCGGATACAAGCGGTTGAAATGAGTTTCCTCCGCAGGGTAGCTGGACTCTCCCTTTGAGATAGGGTGGGAAGTTCAGTTATCTGGGAGAGACTCGGAGCAGAACCGCTGCTCCTCCATATCAAGAGGAGCCAGTTGAGGTGGTTCTGGCATCAGTTAAGGATGATTCCTGGGCACCTCCCTATGGAAGTGCTTTGGGCATGTGACTGGGAGGAGACCCTGGGGAGGACCCAGGACACACTGAAGAAACTATGCCTCTCGGTTGGCCTGGGAACACCGTGGAGTCCTCCCAGAAGAGCTGGAAGAGGTGGCTGCGGAGAGGGATGTTTGGACCTCCCTGCTCAAGCTGCTGCCCCCACGACACGACTTCAGAACAAGCAGAAGATAATGGATGGATGGATTGAATCTTTGTCCAACTGAAATGCAAATGAACATCTCTTTAAAGTCTTGTTGTAATTGCCAATAATAATATTTTCATTCTTGCCCTTTTTGTGCTTTGTTTCTATGACCAGTGTCATGTTTTTTGGCATTTACCGTAATTTCCGGACTATAAGCCGCTACTTTTTCCACAGGCTTTGAACCCAGCAGATTATACAATGCTGTGGCTAATTTATGGATATTTGGTTTTTGACGGGATAACGAGCTTCCTGCCGCCAAAACATTTAGCCTCGTCACACCGCGGCGCTCACATAGCTGCCCAATACACGCCTCTCCTTGTGGGGGTGGGTCCTCATGACTCAATGAGACTACCTGTTTAAATAAAGGTAAAAAAAAAATCTGAGCTATGATATTACCAAACAGGTCACTGTTGAACCAAGGAAACGAGGAGTGGAGGAGAGAACAAGGAGGGGGAACTTGTGCCCCTCCCTGGGGGCACAACAAATTATTTGCAGTCACTCGATATCAGTGTGAATTGTGTATTAATGCGACACTCAAAGCTCGGTGGGAGGCTTGGATGACTGGTGGTGAGAAATCGTTTACCAGAACTGGTGGCATGCAGAGAGCAACTTCTGCTCCAGTCTGCCAGTGGCTCCTTATAGAGGGGCAGTTTAAAAATGTCCTCTGCAGGAGGAGGATGAAGATAGCTATCAATGACTTCCTAGTAGGCTACTAAGGCTACTGTATTTTTTTTTTAACCAGCTGTATTTACTGTAAGTATTTGTGTATGTTACCAGGACATATTTAATCAAAGGTTTAAAAAAAATTTCTGTGTAAATGTCTCACGTTACAACATGGACACCCACGGCTTATACACAAGTGCGGCCTATATATGTACAAAATTATTATTATTATTTAAATGTAGTGGGTGTGGCTTATATTTGAGTGCACTCAATAGTCCAGAAATTACAGTCAATGGTAAATGAACTGGGGCAGCACAATGGCGCAACTGGTAGAGCTGCTGCCTCTCGGCGAGCAGGTCCCTGGTTCAAATCCCGGTCCAGGGGCCTTTCTGGGTGGAATTTGCATGTTCTCTCCGTGCTTGCATGGGTTTTCTCCGGGTGCTTCGGTTTCATCCCACAGACCAAAAACATGCATGTTAAGCTGATTGGTAACTCTAAATTGTCCCTAGGTGTGAGTGAGAGAGTGAATGTGGCCCTGTGATGGACTTGCGACCCATCCAGGGTGTACCCCGCCCCTCGCACAGTGATTGCTGGACAAGGGCACCGGTGACCCCCGTGACCCATCATGGAAGAAGCGGGTAAAAGATAATGGATGATGGTAAATGAACTGTACTTAAATAGCGCTTGTGTATCTTATCAAGATACCCAAAGTGCTTTACACTACAATCTGTGCCCTCATTTACCCATTCATTCAGCACTCTACTAGATCTATACAAAGAATAATTAGTGCTTTTAGATCACATTCATACACCAGTGGTACACACATAAGAGGCAATGAGGGGTTCAGTGTCTTGCCCAGGGACACTTAGGCATGTGACTGCTGGTGGAATTGAACCCCCAACTCTTGCATTGGAGGATTACTGCTCTAACCACTCAGTCACAGCCACTCAATTAACAATGAAGCCAAGCTGAGTTATGCATCTAGCTAACTAGCCAATGGTAAATTGATGTTCCTTAGATGCCTTTTGGGATGTACTCCACCCCTCACTAAACATCATTCTCCTCTCAATGGATTTGTGTCCTCGAGCTGTCTTACCAGTTTCATAAGCTTTTGTGAATTAATGTGTGTTGGTAGGCTTGATTGTAGACTAAGGACTTGGACATGCTTTTGCATCCTCCCTGCTGTGGTGCTTTGCAGACTTATGGCTACGTGTTGTAGCTCTTTCTGCTTTATGCTGGTGAGTCTTATAAATACAGTATGTGCAACAATTTGGCAAGTGGGAAACCCTTGCACTGTAGGTGCTGCATGTTTTTACCTGTGCTTTTCAGTTTTTATTTCTTTTTCCGTTTATTGTTTGAGATAAAAACAGTTGTTGCCTCTTCTCAGCAACCAATCAACTTGCACCATCAAACATGGTTTCACTGCATTGATAGAATTAAGCTGGTTTGTCACATTTATTATCCATATACTTACCCATCATCTCTAAAGGATGAAACCCATCAAACCACGTTCGACATCATAAAAGTAGGAGTAGTTTAAGGCAAGGGTTTTGGTGGAACATATATTTTGCCCTAATGTGGAATTTAGACTATCATTACAGATATTTACATGGAGACACCAAAAAAAAAAAAAAAGAGAAAACCACACAAGGACAAAATTTAGCTTACTTAATTTGGGTTTTCCTTAAAATACAGATTCATTACAGCACATTTGTTTTCATAGAAAACTAAAACATCAGCTCTTATTGAGCATGGACTTTGTTGTTAAAATATCAGCTGTTCTCACATCTTCTTATTTTAATAGCATTGTTGTAGCTTCACCTAATAAACTGCACAGATGACTGCATTCATGTTTTTGGTTTATCAGCTTCATAAAATTATCTGCCAGTGATGCTTTAAAATGTTTGGCTGATGCCAATTATGTAAAAAATGATAAACAGGAGCAGTAAGAGATGACGCACCTTTGCCAGTGGAGGAAAAAATAAAATGTGTGGATTCGGGCCCAGATTGACATCAAAAGTTAATTGCTTCTAAGCTAGGCCATGCCTCGTGTCTGTTAAAATTTGTATGTAAATCCATTTATGACTTTTAGTAATGGTGCCAACAAACTGACAAATAAAATAACAAAACTAAGCCCATTAACCACACAGCCTCCCTGGAAGAGGTAACAACCGGGAACAGTCTTACTGGTATGTATGTGGGTACAAAAGTAACACATCATCTGCATTAGTCATCAAGTAAAAACTAATTATTTCAGAGTGCCATTTGAAAGTTGTGGCTTGTTCTTCTTTGTACATCGTACATACTGTATGTAAGTATTGCATGATGGCTCAATGCACAGTTGGCAAGAGTACAGCATACGACACATTATACACCAGTTGACATACTATTATATAGCAATCTATAGCAATGGCCCAGACAAAAAATTATCATTTTTATTTCAACCTTGATCTGTGACCTTTACATTGAAGGCGATGCAACAATTAAGTGACAGGCTGTCTAGTGATGATACTAATTTGTTTCACATTTTGTTCAATTATCTTGAGTGGATCAGAAGTACGATCCGGACAAATTCCTTGTTTTAACTTTGACCTTGATTTGTGACTTTGACCTTGGAATTGGGATTAAGAAAAGTGTATGCTACACTAGTGATGATGCTTATGTGTATCATGTTTCATTAATTATCTTGAGCGGATTGTAATATACTTGTATAATAAATAAAGTGCTATGTGTTGTCATCATACAAAGACAAAACTGGCTTTCTGCATTTAACCCATCGCATCTGGGATACAACCAGGTGGAGCAGTGGGCAGCTACGCAAGTGCCCGGGGAGCAATTCAGGATTAGGTGTCCTGCTCAGAGACACCACAAAATGTGCAATGACCCGGGATCGAGCCCAGGACCTTCGGGTCCCGAGGAGGCTGGGCTGCCCCTACACCATTTTGGCCCCAGCATATCTTGTATAAGCTGAGCTTGGATAGAAAG